ACTGCACTTCCTCTCAATGTGCTTGACCATTGTATGTAGTTATATTGAATTCCAACCATTAGTCTTCAAGTTATGGTCCAGACAAAAAAAAGAAGGCAATGGAAAAGCAACAAAGGGCAATAACTCTGTTATTACTTTAGATAGAGTTATGGTTCTTGTGCACTGCACTTCCCCTTATTGTGTTTGACAATTGTATGAAGTTGTTTTGAATTCCAACCAGTAGTTTTCAAGTTATGCCACGGACAAGGAAAAGTAACAAAGGGCAATAACTCTGTAATTAGTCAAGATAGAGTTATGTTTCTTACGCACTGCACTTCCTCGCAATGTGCTTGACCATTGTATGTAGTTATATTGAATTCCAACCATTAGTCTTCAAGTTATGCTCTGGACAAGGAAAATGCAACGGACAAAAAAAAAAGCAATGGAAAAGCAACAAAGGGCAATATCTCTGTAATTACTTTAGATATAGTTATGGTTCTTATGCACTGCACTTCCCCTTATTGTGTTTGACAATTGTATGAATTTGTTTTGAATTCCAACCAGTAGTTTTCAAGTTATGCTCTGGACAAGGAAAAGTAACAAAGGGCAATAACTCTGTAATTAGTCAAGATAGAGTTATGGTTCTTGTGCACTGCACTTCCTCTCAATGTGCTTGACCATTGTATGTAGTTATATTGAATTCCAACGATTAGTTTTCAAGTTATGCTACGGACAAGGAAAATGCAACGGACGTCTGGACCGACCGACAGACCGCCCGACCGACCGACCACCGGGTGACTCCTATATACCCCCCCAAACTTCGTTTTTGGGGGTATAAAAAGTGTAAATAGTTTGATGGTGAATTTCCATTCTCCAAATCTTAGAGAGTGCTCCAACATTACTACAATTTAGGTTTGTGCAGATCTATCAATTATAAGAGAAGGTTGTTGAAAACGTTTTCCTGACGATTAACATAAAGTGTCTTTAGTTTGAAACATGAGGCTGAAGGGCAATCATGCAAAAATACTAAAAGCTAAACTATTTCTGATGAGTGGTTATGGAAAGAAAGATGTTTAAAGGAAATTGCCCAATTACTGGACAACAGCAACTATATTAGTATATAATCCAGACTGTTCTAGTTCTAACATCCTAATAACACATGTACAAAATGCTTTATGATTCCTCTCCTTGTATTTTGATTCAAGTCAATTATTCTATCCACATTCTATATGGTTTGTCCAGAACCCTAAAATTTGGTTCATATCGCTCAAGGGTTCAATACTTCATTCACATAACTGTCTTCAATGTCAATAAAAACACAATTCAAGACATAAAACTGGATTTGTTTGGGAGAATAGGAAGCAGTTAATAGTTTTATGCTAGACAGAACTGAATTGATTGATTTGCTTTTTATTTCGTCTTAGAGATGATTTCTTCAAATATTGTGTTAATATCTGCACTCCATGTCTGTTCATATAAAGATAGTAAAGCAAGATGGACTGATATTCCAATACTAACATTTAAACAACAACATGTCATGTTGAGTTTTAATACAATCCTTTCATGATGATAAAAATTTTAAGTCATGCGGCTAAAATAGATTAAATTGTAAGATAGCCATGATGCTTCTGCTGTGCTCAATAAGAAGTCTGTTGTATTGTGAGATGACATTATTGTTTTACAATCGTCCGTCAACCTGTTTTATACATCACAAATCCATCTTACAAACCAATAATCTGCTTAACACCACTAATTTGTTTTACAAGACAACAATCTGTTTTAACCACTGATCTGTTTTACAGCAATAATCTGTTTGTTTTGCATCACTAATCCCTTTTACATTACTAATTTGTTTTACATCACAAATCTTTTTTTTACATCACTTATGTGATTTACATCAATAATCAGATTTTCTGCTTTACTTCACTAATCTGTTCTTCATCACTGATCTGTTTTACATCACTAATTTGTTTTACATCACTTATTTGTTTTATATCACTAATCTGTTTAACATCACTAATTTGTTTAACATCACTGATCTGTTTTAAATCACTAATTTGTTGTACATCACTAATCTGTTTAACATCACTAATTTGTTCTACATCACTAATCTGTTTAACATCGCTAATTTGTTTTACATCACTGATCTGTTTTATATCACTAATCTGTTTAACATCACTAATTTGTTTTACATATTTAATCTGTTTTATATCACTAATTTGTTCTACACAGGGTTCGAATTTAAGCTGGCATACTGGCAAAATGCCAGTTAAAATCTAATAATGCCAGTAAAAATTACTCTAGCTGGCATTTATTTGCAAGTGACTGTTCATTTTGGACTTTTACATAATTGATATCTTCTGAGCTGATGATGATGCTTGGCAACTGCCTGCTGCAGAAACTGATGATGTTTACTGTACCAGATGCAGTAATTGATGAAGTTTACCTTAAAAACTTAAAAATCAATTTTTGGTTGCTCTATTTATTTTTTCTGTGACTATGTTTTGATGGACTATTTATAACAGCCAAACACATGTTGTTTTATCAGGGTCCAATGTAAATGCGTAGCACTTCTCTGTAAAGTGTTTACTTATAAGCTGAAATATTTATTTAAGTAGATCAGTACCTCTGAGTTTTCAGGCTGTTGGTGTAATCAAGTACAAAATATGCTTAAATAAATGAAGGTCCTAAGAATTGTCATACCATAATATGTTCAAAATACATTGTCATTGTGTATTATAATAATAAATAAGATACATGATAATGGAAATGCCAGTGGAATACCTCATATTGCCAGTTAATCATTTGATCACTTGCAAGAATTTGCAAGTAGAAATTATTGCTAAATTCTATCCCTGGTTCTACATCACTAATCTGTTTAACATCACTAATTTGTTTTACATCACTGATCTGTTTTACATCACTTATTTGTTTTATATCACTAATCTGTTTAACATCACTAATTTGTTTTACATCACTGATCTGTTTTATATCACTAATTTGTTCTACATCACTAATCTGTTTAACATCACTAATTGGTTTTACATCACTGATCTGTTTTATATCACTAATCTGTTTTATGTCACTAATTGGTTTTATATCACTAATCTGTTTTATATCACTTATCTGTTTTACATCACTAATTGGTTTTACATCAATAATTTGTTTTACATCACTGATCTGCTTTACTGCAAAGGGCCCTGATTTCACAACTTCAAGTACTGAAATTCAGCCCCATGCATCTCCCAAACATATGTGTCACCTATATTTTTTTTATAAAATCCCCATAAAGAAATATATTTTTTTATAAAATTTTATCTGCATAAATTATAGCAGTAGATACTTAACAATATCAGGCTGATATTTATATTTTGCAAAATTAAATATATAATACTTAACATTATGAGTACTGTCGACAAAATTTCCTTTTTTTTTCTCTAAACAATGCGAAATTCCCCTACCTCAGGGCAACAGCCAAATTCCTCATATGGTAATTAGGGCCCAGCTGCAAGTATTTCTAACTTTTCTATAGCATCAACAATTGAAACAGTGGTTTTAGATTCATGTCATTATATATATTGTTGCTGGGACAATAACATCTGCAGAACCTAAAACTTGATCTTAGGAACCTTAGAACTCTCCCTATTGAGCAGACAGGCACAAAGGAACCTGTATGTTTCCCAAGTTCAGCATAACAATTTCTTCTTTAAAATGTTAAATTTGTATTGAACTCTGTTAAGACATCAAGAGTTATCAATAAATTTACATTTTCTGGCATTTGAATCTTCAAAGTACCTGATGTATGTTCATGGTATAAACAAGGGAGATTACCAGAAGACTGACTTTACTTCTTGGAAGTGTTGAAACAAGATAATGTCAAGCTTGATATATTATAGTATGATTTGATTTAGTCAACAAACAGAATTTATAAGCCTCTTTAGATATAAAGTATCATCAAGGGAATATCACAATTTATTAGATATGATTTGCTATGGTTATCATTCTCACAAATTTCCATAGACTGGAAGGAAAATGTTAATAAAGGAATACAGTATACTTTAGATCTGACATAGTGACATAGATTAACTTGAAGACGATCTGCATTTTGTGTATAGATATTGGCAGCATCTATTTAATAACAAAAAGTTAAAAGGAAACATGTTGGGCATTTTTGTTGAAATTTTGATGATATTATCATAAATTAATTCAATTCAAGAGAATTTCCCTATGGAATTATTTGTAACTTCATAAAATACGGACAGCAGTTGTGCTTTTTTTTTTAGATTTTAATATCACATCATCATTTTCAAGGTCATGTGGCAACTTACCAGCCAATTTATACATTATATCAGGCATAAACAGGTACCCAAATAGAGCCATCCACCTTCTGTGAGCCAGCTGAATAGCCTGCTAACATGAATGACTCCAAAGTCTCTGACAGGACACTATCAGCAGAGCTCAAAATTGACAACAAACAAATACTGGTACTATGATTTCTTGTTCCACATGAAGAATACTCTGTCTACAGATTGGTTAAATAGGGACAGCAGAGTTATTCATCTTTAAAAAGCCATATTTGCTTAAATTGAAACTACAAGACAATGTTAATCACGATCTGTGAAAGTAAATAATCCTAAATTTTGAATATCATTTCTAATTTAAGTAACTATGCATCTAATTTTATATAACATCTAGATAATTAAATTTTTAAGGAAACAAACCTCACATAATATAATATCACATCCCACTAAGGGGGATAGAATGGAATGTCAAAGGTGAACACCTCAGTTGGATGCGAAATTCATATCATTACACAGACCAAACATTTTTTAACATTGTTTTTAATCAAAGCAAGGGAGGTAATAGATGCGGACCAGAATAATTTAAACCAAGCATATGGTATGCCCATGTGGGCCGTTTGATAAAGTCTGTTGGCTAAAACCTAATGTTACCATGTGCTAGTATGGACAATGATACCTTCTGACCTCACATAAGTCTATAAAATAAATAAATCACTTGAGGTACTACAATAAAAGCATTTCTGTTCCATTTCACAAGCACTTACTTGTCTTCTCCAAGAACAACACCAAAAGCAACATGCTCTACTCGAGTCTGTTTAGGATTATAGAATCCAGCCTTCTGGGCAGCAGCATATATCAGATCAAAATGAGGTCCCTGTAGAACAACATATTTCTATAAGTAACATGATTAATAAATGAGAAATATCTCTTAAGAAAAATTCAAGTAAATAGTCACATAAAATTTCTTAAAAAATTGTGTCTTCAGTCAGGACATCTCCGAAGAATTTTTTAATCAAGAGAAGACCAACTTATTACCCAAGTAAAGAGTTTTCACCCTGTAGAAATTATGTGTTGCATCTCTTTCAATACTGACTGTCCATGTATTTAAATATCAAATTAAAATTGTGAAGCAATAAAAGTCTGGTGTGATATACAGACTGGTGTTGCTGCAAATTCATAGCACTAACAGGTAATATCTGTACTAGCACCCTAATGGTTAGCATTGTTTCAATTTGATCTGACCTTCATTACTTGTTTTAGACCCTGATCATCCATGGTTAAATATGCCCAGGATGCCTGAGGAGTCATAAAACAAACATCATGATAAAACTTTACTCAGGCCAAATTTGTGTACTCTAAAACACAGTGCATAACGCATAAAACTTGTTCCTTCTACAGGTAATTGTGCTCTGGTGAGCAGGGTTCGAAAATACCACTCCTCCGCTTGTATTTATGAGTAGCCTTCAATGCAGGACGAGTATAAAATCATTGTATGTTTGTCTGGCAGGAGGAGTATAAATTGCCAATGTAATAGAAAGCTAGAATTCTCAAAATCAGTTTGTTTACATTTAACGATGGAAAACCGGAAACAAAGCTTGTGTTTTAGGTTATGTATAATTTGCGCACTTTATAAAGCTCTGAGCACATTGTTAACTAGTCTGGAGTTCTTTCCCCTTATACTACGTTATACTTTCAGTAGTAAATGTAGGTAGGGAACCAAATGTAGGTAGGGAACCAGACTAATTGTGAATTGGATACAGGTGTGACTTGAATGTGTCTGACAAGGCCTATAAAGTGTGCTATTTATTCATAACCTAAAACACAAGCTTTGTTTCCGGTTTTTGTTTGTTAAATTTATGTAAAGAGGTACTATTGCATCGATGAAGTTTATCTTGAAAATCGAGGCAGAAATGCAGAACGAATAGCAAAGCATGCAGGACAAGTAGAAATTTGAAGCCACTCATCCTCGACAATGGCTCTGAAAAGAATTTTTGATCACTGAAAGAGCTAAAAGGAAATGAATATACTAACCTGTCCAGCATCTACAACATAAATAAGCCAGTTGCCTTTCTCAACCTGTAGTCTTTGTTTAATTGCTGCCATATCAGATGTGTCATATGTATACCCACCATCAGACTTTACTAAAGTGAGTGGAACTTTCTGACCCTCAATAAACATTAATTTCCTTCCATCCTCAACCGTTGTAAAACCTGAGAATGAAGATAAACAGAACTGTTACCCTGCTTAAATTGTGTCATGCTATGAATTTTGGACAGTTCATTTGCAGTACAAGAGATTCTAATACCAAAATACTAAACCAGATAAATTTATAGTTTGACAGACTGCACTTTTTGCATCCTGAAAAGACCCCCAGATTCGAGCTAATTTTAAGATTTGCGACTTGCACAAATTTTGCAGAAATCTACTACTTGAGATAATGGTAGTGTTTCAAAACTGAATAAATGGACCTAGCTTGGGGCTATGTTCATAGGGGCAGGTAGGTACCTTTCTCTATGATAGTATAGAAAAGACATAGCTGTTGAGAAAAATTTAAGATAAGAAAACTTTCAGCAGACATCTTTGATAAACAATCCACTTCTGTCCTCAAACTTGGAAGGAATAATCCCCATCTTATTATCTGGGCAATAAGGTAGGTTGAGTTTATAAAACAAATATCTACCAGAATATCATTAATTTTTTACAGTAAATCATTAATTGTTTACTGTTTTTTTAAACCAATGAACAATTTTCTATGTTTAGTGACAAGGCTACCTATCATTGGTGCATGTGCATTTGGGAAAGGGAGATTGGAAATTTAAAGTGAACTATCATGATCACTTGACAGCAATCCAAAATAAATGGTGAAGGAAGAGCCTATAAAGAAATTGGTATATAAGTTTGGCCATGAGTCAGCTCCATAAAGACCTTTTATTATGAAATGACTTAAAAGAAGTGATAAAAATGCCAGAACATGCACATTTGAAGAACATCTGGCAATAAGTTTTTAAAAAAATATCAAAACTGACTCAAGGCTCCAAATTACAGGTAAGACCATCCTTCTCATCCTCAAAGCTTCATCTAATTCTTTGGTGTCAGTAAGCAAACAAATTAAAACTTTGGAATGTCATTTCTCATGCAAGTTTTTACATGCTATCAAACATAGCAGCATTATATAAGCAGTTGGCTGACACTACAAGAAAATAACAATCATTTTCATAAAACAGCATGACCTACCTTTGTCATCAAGCTCACGTACAACATCTTTCATCAACTCCTGGTAAAACGACTCCCCTCGTTCTATAATTTTAACTCCTAGTCTTTCATAAACCTTCTGGAATTCTGAAATTGGAAACAAGACAAATTTCAATATAAGACCCAAAAAGCATCCTCCTCCAGATTAATTTTTGTTACATTTAGCTATAAAGTAACAAATATTGCAGACTCTTAAATACTTCAAACAAAGACAAAAAAGTTAAGTATATCTTAGAAAACACATTCCACTTTTCTAAGTTAATTAATACCTTCAATAGTTCTGTAGACATATAATTCTTAACTAACACCAAAGATATAAAATAAACTGAAGATATAACAAAACTTTTCAAACAGAGGTAAATTCTGTATTTCTGTTGAAAAAAAGAGCGATATAGTTTTCAAGATTATGGCCTGTTTGATTAATGTTTCTGATGTTCAGGCAAGCATTCCAACTATGAAGTATTCCATCTTTGGCAATTTCTGAGAAACAAAAGAAACAACTATTAGGTTTACAAACCAAGAAGATAATGGGATAATGACTAAAGCTCAACTTTGCTGTATGAAATGTGGAGCAAAAAATAAAATAAATGAGAAAGAATTTAATCATGACAACCTTTCCTCGACACATCACATATAAGATTCCAAGCCTTCATGTGGTTTGCTTCGTATTTTTGTAACTGGACAACTGCAGCATATGCCCTCTTTTTAAAAGCCTCATCTTCATCAAATCGCAATTTTGACTCCTGAAACAGCAATTAAATAATGGAACTTCTATCAATGATATTTTTTACATTTAATTATCATCACCTATACCGGTATTACACACTAATTATTGATTAACCAAAACTTCTATCTATTTACTTAAGTTCGCTTGAACTTGTCTCTAATCTAGCATCATGTAGAATACATTTGCTGCATTTAATGTTTTCAAAACTATTCTTTAATACCAATTTGAAAATGTATGAAACATTTTTAAAGCGACATTTTCATTGTGTAAGAGGTATAAGAACAACATTAAAGTCACTTTGCCCATCAGTTTCAGATGTATATCAAAGTTGACTCTAAATGACAGACTGCATACCTAACCTAGATTGCCCTTTATCTTTGAAAATTGTCTTACCCCTTGTAAAAATTTACCAGAAATCAAGATTCTGAGGATAAAACACAAAAATCAACCCCCGAGTAAGGACAAATACTACAACATGTTGTCTTGCATACCTTATAAAAAGCCTGTAGATCTTCAATTGGTGGAGACTGTTTGATGTAATCAGGAAACTTGTCCTGCAAGTGAGCAATCAACATACCAAACTGGGTACCCCAATCACCAAGATGATTTAAACGTAAAACATCATGCCCCACCCACTCTAGCAAACGGCTTACACTTTCCCCTATTATTGTTGACCTATAAGATAAAGTAAGCAAGTAATCAATAAAAATTTCACAATATCAAAGTGATAGTTTACTACAGAAATTATTTTTACAGTTTATAAGGCAAAAATCTAAACTCCATATTTTTTTTTATTACATACTGATATCCAGGCCAACAACTTCAGGCATATTTTTCTTGACAACTTGTGCTTTTATGAGTAAATTTCTGGACTTATTCGTAAACTAATCACTTGCATGTACAGCAACCTGATTGTTGACATACATACTTAAACATAATGATAATAATGATGTTGATTTTTGAGACAATTCATAAAAGTTTCAGACCATTTCTTGACTCTGAATTGGTGCTTCATTTAAAGGTTGAGCAATACCTGTAAGATGCATTTTCTTTATATATTTCGCATTACTTCAAATATGGTACAAAAATTACATAAATAATGCCAGTGTTGCATCTAGGCAGGGTTCCCTCTGGGTCAAAATAAGTTTGCGCCATCAAATTCGCCAATCAGAAAAAGTTGGAGCCAATGGCTCTTAAGTTGGAGCCAGTAATTATGAGGAGGAGACATACTTTTTTTGTTAAGATATTATAGTAGTAATACCATATTGATAACAACACATGCATATATATTAACTATTTATTAACAAGACAGCACATAACTTATAAAGTACATTAAAATTGTTTTCATTTTTATTAACTGTTTATTAACAAGAAAGCAAATAACCTATTAAGCACATTAACATTGCCTCCATTTCAATAGATAACATAAAAATATCAACAATATGAACATAGAAAACACATGTTTAATTATGTTGAATATACCCATTGCTTTCTTACTGCAAACCCCTAGCCTATACTTTTACAGCCTACTGTACTACATACTAACCTATCCTTCATAACTACTGTTCTACTGCAAAATTCTCCTATCCTTAACAGCTGCCCATTTCTTAAATGCCTTATCAAAAGGAAACTGCCCTATCTCTGGCCCTTCTACTGTAATTCTCATAAGCCTATCTAAAGACTTTACAGACAGTCTACTACGCAAACAGGTCTTAATGAGATTCTGCTTGCTAAAACCCCTTTCACAATCAACTGTAGAAACAGGAGCAAGCAGCAATCTCTCTGCAGCCTCACTTGCTACAGGGTACACATCCTTCTTACGTAAAGCCAGGTTCGCCACATCATTGGGTGCCTTCACAGACTTGTTTCCCTCACTAATAAGGGCATGTGCATACCCTAAAAACATATCCAAATCATCTACATTACACTCTACACCTACATTACCAAGGTACTCTACTATCACATCTACATCATCAACTTTGCTATCCTTATCTACTACAGGATTGAAATAATTACACAAAGCTGTCAGAACAACACTATCATCATTATCTGAAAATCTATCATTCATAGACCTTACCATACCTTTCACAAACTTATCACAAATACTATTTGCCTCCTGACGCTGCTTCTCACCATCCCTAATAGTATGGCCCTGATACTGAAAAGTCATGAGACCATCATCACCTACCTGTGGCTCATGTGGAACCTGAGACAAGAACTTACTTAGACATGTACCATCCTTCTTTGAGCCCAGACTCTCTACCTTAGCAACAGTGGAACGAAGCAGTGGTGTTACCTCAGAGAAATCTAAGTCAGATTTCTGGTAGGACTTTGACAAGGCAGCAAGTGGTTTGAGTATGTCACACAGGAAATTGACTACATACAAGAACTTGAAACTAGTAATGGGTTTGTAGAGACTAAGGGCCTTACCACTGCTTTCCTCTAAGAAAACTGACACTAAATCACTATAATTCCTAACCAAAGCTTCTACTGAACCCTCAAAACTAAGCCACCGTGTATGAAACACTTCCTTGAACTTCAGACTGTTACCTTTAGTGTGCTGTTGTATGGATTCTAGCATGGCCATGTGCTTTGGTGAGAAGTGAAAATACTTATAAACACTATTCAGTATTTCCTGTACCTTAACTAAGTATGGGATGCTATCTGCCCCACTACAGCAGCTAAGTGCTAACCTATGCCCTATGCAGTGAGTGGCTAAGATACCTGGGACTGCTTGTTTAAGTCTAGTTACAACACCTGACTTATTGCCTACCATTACAGATGCCCCATCAGTACTTACACCACAAAGACCAGACAATTTTATTCCCTTCTCATTTAATGTACATATTACTTTAGCATATATGGACTCAGCATTTGCACGCTCAAGACTGTCAATACAGAAGAAATGAGTTTTTGGGTTCACAACACCAAGATGGTCAGTTTCTAGAATACGAATATACATTATAAGATTCTGATGAACAGAAATGTCAGTACTTTCATCAAACATTAAACTGTACTTCTCACTTGACTTCACCCTCTCTAAAATATTTTCCTCTATTACAGCTGAAATGCTTTCTTGAAATTCTCTGGTTGAGTCAGAGTGTTCATAGGAGGTGTGCTTGTTAACCTTAAGATCTGCCAATTGGGATACACCCTAAAATTGTATACGAAAAGAATAATTGAAAAACCTACTTCTTTGAAATTCAACATTTAATTAAAATTATATTTAAAATGTAAATATGGTTCATTACATAAATCCTTTCTTTTGCTCAATCAATTATATGAATTAATCTGTTATAAAATATATATCACTTTTTGCAAGTTTTCACAAAGTAAAACAAAAGTAATTAAAGAAAAAGTCTAAACTTAGTAAATTTATACTAAGTATAAAAAAAATCTAATTATCTTTAATACCTGTAGTAACATGTGACTGTTCACAGAGGCTAACAGTGAGCTAGGAAGGTCTTGTTTTGCCAGAAAGTAAACATTAGCCATGGCGGTTCTTACTGCTGTTTCACTTTTACTGACTGATGCCACTCGGGCAGTTTCCATGTGACCACGGAGCTTTTCAGCATCTACTGCATTCTGATGATCTACAAATATACATAAAAAACATTACCTTATTGTCTTCATCTTAACATCCACATTATTCACATTTCATAATCCATAAATATGCACATTCACAACACTGTTTTTAATAATAAAAATAATCAAACTTAAGCCATGAATACCTTTTGTTTTCATATGTTTTGTGATGGACTCTTTCTTTAATACATTACATCCAGAAGTGAAAGTATTGACATACTGACATTTAACACAAAGTTTACATATCATTTCTTTTTTGTTTGCATTATAACTCAAAAATGGAAATGTTGTCAGCCAAGAATCTTGAAAGTGCCTTATAACTGGCGAATTTGATGTTTTAGCAATTTTGGAAGGTGTTCCAATGGAACCCTCAAATTTACGTTTCATACTAGGTTTACTAGGTGTCGTCATGATTGCGACTGATAGTTGAAGTTAATTTTAATTTTTCTTATATAAGTCACTTTCTTTAATTAAATAATGATTTAAATTAATCGCCTATTAAATAATTCAAACTGTAAATCAATTAACCACTTACCTTCCTTTACTTTGCCGAACATGAAAAACAACACCGGCAACATCAACGATGTTTATTCTTTCCATTACTGTAACTTGCTACAAACACGTAATGGCCAACGTGTGTAATTAACTTGTTAGTCGGGAGATTAAAGACGACAAGTTAATCCAATTAAAGAGTGACACTTGCATCTCATCACTTTCTCAAAGTGTCATAAAGTTTGATAAACAAACTAATCACGCATGACCAACCATGACCTTGTATTACGCATCCGGGCCGCTTATGTATTTTTTTCTTGGCCGCTTATCGATTTTTAACGGTAATAGTTGTCGGATAGTTATTTTTACGTTTGCGCCAGTAAAATTCGCCAAATGAAGATTTTATTTGCCAGAATTAAAATATTGTTGCATTTGGCGCCATTGGCGAGCGACAGCGGGAACCTTGCTAGGCCGCGGGATTGTGCATTTGTTATGCAGATCGTGCATTTTCATGAAGTCAACACTCGCCAAGTCGCGCATCTGACAATCTTTTCAACTTAATTCACTTTATCTTCATCATATCTTGAACGCTTCAGCCATGTTTGTTTTCACACGTGGTTATTACTAAAATACATACTAAATCGCGTGTAGCAGCCGAATGGGTCATCTCGCGCGTGTTTTGTAGTATTCGTAAATATTTTATTTTTTCTAAATCCGTTTTTGAGTGGACGATAGCTGTCAAAAATGCCTGAACGTAAAATAAATGAATTCTTTTCAATAAGTCATATTGTAAGGTATGTCCCCCCCATTTTTTTCAAATCCCCCACATTTTTCAGTTGAGTGGGGGACAATCCCTCATAATTTTGAAATTCTAGATGCAACACTGAATGCATGAAAATTTACAAATCTAGCATTCAGACTATTACTTAGTTACTCAGAAAATTTCGAAATTAAATCAATTAAGCCACTGAAATTCAGCAAATCAAATCATTAATTGAGGAATTTCCAAACTTATCTTTATCACGACCTTATAAATTTCAATTTCACAATACCTAAGATGTCCAACATGCATCTGCTTTGCAATGTTTGGTGAAGAAAAGTCAATGACAACCCTTTTCTTGGCCAGGATTCTAGGTGGTTTCACTCCGTTCTTCAGTACGCTGTTGACCTGTTCTGCTACATAGTCTTTCCGTAAGAAAACATTGATAAACCCAGGCCCAGCAACTTCAAGCTAATATAGTTAAATAAATATGACAAGTGATATATAATTAATAACATGTATGTGTTGTCTCTATATCATGATATGTCTACTTTTTATTCCCTACCATAAATATTATCAGAAATAAAAGTTAAAATTTCAACATTGAAGAACAACATTGTCATACTCTAAAGTAATTTCTTACAATAGTCAGATTACAACTAGAAAGCTAAAGTTGATAATTACTTGCTTACTAATTTTGAATGCATAACTACCTTTTCAAAAAATGCAACTTCTGGAATCTGATTCGTAATTTTACGTGCAACTTCTTGTGGCGAACTTTTAACACCAAGCGACTTTAGTTTCTGAAAACAAAAAGCACAAGAAATTTCACCTGAAAGTGTCACATGCTGTGAAAATAAATACAAATGTAAATGTTTCAGGGTTGGGATTTTTTTTTTCTTCAAAGAGTTTAAAATGACAATTCTTTACTTAAGAGCATTATGATAAAAAAAATATAGATAAGATTATCATTTTACCTGACAGATGTTCATAGCACTATTGCATTGATAATCAGCAAATTTCCCTTTCTGTATCAGAATGGCAGCATCCTCAATATCAGGGAAAGCTTGACGAATGGCAAGGGTGAAGACATCTGTCACAATCTGACTAATGCTCACCATGTTGTCTGAACTGCGACGTTTTTCATTTTGAACATTCTATATAGAAAAATATTATTATTATTAAATTAAGAAGATGTCTCAAGAAATCTATCAATACACTCAAACATGTCAATTAGATCAATTAAACACATAAAACTATTATTTTCTAAGAAAGAAAAGCACTCAACACATAGAACAGTTATTTTGGATGACAAATAACAAACATTAAGTACAATTCTTAGAATGTTATATGGCAACTAAGTAATAGAATATCGATATTGTCACCCAAAGCCATTTATTAATGATATATACTTGAAATTATTTAACAATCTGACACCAGGTCATATGTTATACTCAAAAGAAATATTTTTGTTAAGAAATACTGCAAAAAATAAGGTCCTTGAGAAAATAAAACATTGTATGTAAAAATGTAGTTTTGTTACCCTCTCCAAATGAGAAACTTGATACTTGAGTTTGGCATTCTCAGCACGCAATGTAGCTAGTTGTGGTGAAATAATGCCATTTGCCAGTAGTCTCTGAGGGTCTTGTAACTGTGACAGCTCTGCCTCTAAAGCTTCTATCTCGGCCTCCTGTTTTATAAACAATAAAGTATGTCAAGAGAAAAATGTGTATGTTTAAATTTTCAAATTTTTATAAGTATTAAATATAAACCCACTTAAGATTTTTTCTCTTCATTTGATCAACAAATTAAGGGATGTTTGTAAATACAAACGTATTCATGTTTTTCCTTTGGTACCAAAGAGGCTTCAATATGATCCTAAAAGTTTGAGTATGGCCTACCAAGCTGTCCCGGTCAGGCTGCACATTTTTCTCACCCTGTGACATTTGGCGCCCACCGTGGACCGTGGCTGATAAAGCTCAGAGTTTAATTTACATTGCTCTGTAACTCTGTGAAATTCGAGGACGAATTTCAATATAGCAGGGGAGTATGTCATGGTTCAGAACTGTTCACTATTTAGGGGAGAAGATGTGTAAGCGGCCTGATAGCTCAGTCGGTAGAGCCGCGGAACGGTATTCCGAGGGTCACGGGTTCAAGTCCCGTCAGGCTGCACATTTTCTCACTCTGTGACATATAGACTGAAGTGTACAAAATATATCTAACTACCTATATTAAAATAGCTTTTGTCAAGGCCCCAGGGTATCATGCCATGATTGCCTTAAAGTTAAAGTTGAGATTAAAATACTGCTGCAAGCGATCTTAACAAACATAATATGATATTGACATATTCAGTAACAATATTGGAATATAAGATTTCATGGGCATATTTTCAAAAAGTGAAACGAACAGACTATTTGTAGGAATACTCAATAAAATTTTACTCACATGTCCAATCGGATCTTACCCCACCCACAAAAATGCATTTCAAGAAATTTCATCATCATATTTAATGCAGATATATTTTTACAGAAACATGGAAAATTAACAAAAACTTACAAAAACATTCTTGGATATATTATCGACTATTTCTGTTATAAATTATTGGAAACTAGGATCATACTTACAGCCTGAATAGCCCTAGCTGTCAATGTAGCAACTTCGTCTGCCATGTTTCAATTTAAAGGTTGAATGCCACTAATTTTCTTTCCAGTTTTTTTTGGGGGAAACAATAAAACAATGTTATAGCTTTTATAAAATTTTTAAATTATAAAAATTTTTTTTAAAATAATAGTTAAATTAAGAGGGTTTTTACGTAACTATTAAACCCCTTAATTAATAGTTAGTTATATACAGTAGGCAGAAATATGCCACCATATTAAAGACGTCCAATGTTAGATACTAGCTAGGATTGTAAACTGTTACCTGGTGGAGAAAGAAATGTTGATGTGAAAAAGATTTTTAGGGTTTTGCTTTTCTTTCAGTGGAATTAATTCATTCAGCGGATGTACCTTTTGATTTTAGCAGTTAAATTGTATATATGAAAATAAATTCATTTAATCAGGTACGTATGTTAAATATATACCTGATTTATTTAATTAATTAATTAATTAATTAATTAATTAATTAATTAATTAATTATTATTATTATTATTATTTTGCTACTGGGAATGTTCGTTTACCCTGTCCCATATGTAAAAAAAAACTACACTGATATATACAAGGTGCAAAAAAAAACTCAACTGTTTTATATTAGAACTGCACTGTTATATATCAATACAGTTTTCAAATTCTCATTGAAAGTGTACTGAGTATAATGGATTTGTAAGAACAAAGAAAAAGTTCCAAACCATGCGATGAAACACAGATATATTGTCAACCAAATCAAATCTGCTATAGCTTTATGGTGTAGGAACTTTAATCATGGCGACCTTTAAAGTTTTCGATATTATTGGCGGCGCCGGTGGAGTGGGGCGTCGTCTAATTATGGAACCTTTTTATTTTTGCTACTGGAAGGAGCTGTTATTATTAGCAGTTAATTTCATGTTGTGTTAATTAGTTTATATTTGATTCGGTAAAAAAATCAAGTAAACAAATGTGTTGTTTATATTTGTATT